ACCAACAGTATCACTTCAGACGAGTGCAAATTTCTGGGCACTCTAGTATTCAATCATCTTCCACCTTTAGATCACGAAAGGCAGACAAGTCAATCTACATCCTCAGGTCTAAGAAGATTGAACAGGGGCAGTTATTGTACCTCAAAATGTTCCCTCTCATTTTCTTTCAAGATCTTCTTTTACATGGGTGGTTACAAACATTTGCTTGAGGAAAGTAAAATTTAAAGATGAACAAAATGTCCTTCGATTGGAACATCAGAGCTTCCTTCGATTGGAACATCAGAGATTCCTTCAATTGGAACATCAGAGCTTCCTTCGATGGGAACATCGGAGCTTCCTTCGATTGGAACATCAGAGCTTACTTCTATTATAACAATAGAGCTTCCTTCGATTGGAACACCTGAGCTTCCTTCTATTGGAATATCAGAGCTTCCTTTGATTGGAACATCAGAGCTTCCTTTAATTGGAACATCAGAGCTTCCTTCAATTGGAACATCAGAGCTTCCTTCGATTGGAACATCAGAGCTTCCTTCGATTGGAACATCAGAGCTTCCTTCGATTGGAACGTCGGAGCTTCCTTCGATTTGAACAACAGAGCTTCCTTCGATTGGAACATCAGGGTGTCCTTCGATTGGAATATCAGGGTGTCTTTCGATTGGAATATCAGAGGGTCATTCGATTGGAACATCGAAATTGCCTTCGATTGGCATATCAGTGCATAGGTGTCTTAATCTAAAATTCTCTAATGAAGGAAGTTTTGAACACTTCGAATCAGAAATTATAATCATCACAAGAACAATGGTTGATCGAAGGGGCTCTGAAGAGGGAAATTCTGAATATTTTCAAATTCGAACAAGGCGCTAAATTGGCATGTCCAAGTTCATTTAGAACCCTAGAATGGCATGAAATATCTCAAAATGGAAATATTTTAATTTTTCTGATTCTGTTTCCAAAGCCTTGTTAATGGCTGGTCTTTAATGTCATGTCTCCTTGTCTCCTCCACCATCTATAAATACAAGATGTCAAACACAAATCAGGGGGGACTCACATGCACACTGTTGTACCCCAAAATTTTCCCTCTCGTTTCTCAAGAAATTTCTTAAAAGATTACCATGGATCCTCAGGTTTTCTTCCATCCAATTTCAAGCCTTGAATTACAAATTTTTCAAGAAAGTCATTCACAAGGGAAAAATGGTCAGTTGCACATTGAAGAGTCAAACTTTGACTTTTGGATCAAAATCAAGTTTCAAGAGTCATATTTCATCAAGACATGTTGAGATATGAAGTTTGTTTCATCTAGAAATTCAAAAGTCAAAAGTTACTTTGGAAAAGTCAAAATTCTAAATACTTAGAATTTTTCTAAGTGCTTAATAAATATGACAAGCTCAGAACTTCTGATCAAATTATCACCATGATGCAAGTTGATTCTGGATTAACTTCTAACACAAGAGTTATGGACTCAAACAAGATCTGAAACATTACAGAACAAAACTTCTCCTAGAAATGATGGGATTTCAAGTTATGACTCCTCAAAGACACGTCCATGAAACTGAAGCACTCAGCAAATTCTGGACAGTTCTAAGACAGAGTTTGGTTACAACTTTTGGGCCAGTTTTCACAAAGATTCAGTCAGAGTTTGCAAGGGTAGTTCAAAAAAGGTTTACAAAGCGTGTTGCAAGATTCCTGGAAAGTCTGAGAGCTCCTTCAGAACAAGCTGGAGCAAGGAGATACAAAGATTAGAAGTTGGATGTTTGTTCTAAATTATGCTGAAGATGAACCTCTGACCCAGAATTAAGCAATGATGCAAAATCTCACATTGCAGGATTTCTGGTTTGATAAATCTCATCATCATTTAATGCTCACAACCACTTTTGAGTCTTTATCCATAAAACTTTCCCCACGTGTGGCATAGAAGTACCATTACTGTCTTGGAAAAGCAAACTCTTGTACAAGAGTGTGCTGGGCCCATGAGTTGCTTTGGCTTTTGAGGTTACCTTTCCTTAATTCCTGCTTACAATTCCAGCTTAGGCGCTACTAAAGCTGCTAACCACCATACTTGCTTCAAGAATAAGGCAGCACCCTAGCATGTGATGGTTCTACTCTCCAAGCTACAAGATCTTTGCCTATAAATTGAAAGCCATTGGCAACTGTAAAAGGGGGGAATTTTTGAGAAATAAAAAAGCCTTGAACCCCTGCTAAAATTCCAAGAGTCCAAAACTGCAAATACAGAAATACAAAAAACCTGTTCGCTTTTGATTCTTGCATTCAGACTCCATTTTTTTTCCTCAAGTATTTTTTTACCAAAACCATCCATACAGTTTCTGATATACATTTAGAAACCATCCTAACTTGTGTTCAAACTGTAACACTAGAGTTCAGAACCAGACTCCAGCTCACAGAGTATTTTCCAGCTGTAAGGTAAGCTTCTGCTGATTCTCATCATATTACTTAGGCATTGTCAGATTTGGATGTTTAAAAATACAATCTAGACATCATGATTATGATGTTGTACGTATTCTGAGGTTTCACGTATTTGTATGCCTAAGTAGGGAGTAAATTAGTTCAGAACCTCTTAAGGAAATTAGGATTAGCAAATTCATGCTTGCTTCTGATTTATAGTTCTGATATCTCTTGTTTCTGAAACACTATGAAACCTACCATAACTGTTATATGCACATCTTTTGTTCTGTTGAGAAATGACTAAGTTGCAGATGTTCTGACTAGCATGGAGAGGGAGACTAAGTTCTTCCAGTGGTATCAGAACTTCTGAAATCTTCTTTTCTCCCAGCAGACCCCGAATTTCTGACTTTACCTATTTCTACTAATATGATCTATGTTTTACAGCACGCCAGAGTCAGAACTTCTGATCTCTTTTAGTCAGCAATGCGCTGATTCTATTTTCTTTTTTCCTTACTATTTTTGCTATAACTTCTTATTTCACTAATCAAAAACACCAAAAACATTTTACATTTTATATGCTTTATCTTATTTCTTAAAACAAAAAGATCAAAAATATTTTCTTAAACAAAACTTATCTCTTTTCTGAAACAAAACAGGTTCATTTCACATTTTCTTGTACATTCTTATCCATTCAATATGGTTGTAATAGTAACTTAGGATTTAATTTCATTTTCAATCCCCATTTGTAAATCTGTACACCCCATCCCCCTAACAATTGTAATAGCGTAGGATATTTACTTTCCGCATTTTTTATTGATTTCATATATTGCTAATAATTACGGTGTGTATGGCAAGATAAAAACAACAAATAGACAACCTAAAAATCAAAGACTAAAATGCATGCAATCAGACACACCTTGCAAATATGCACACCTTAGGGTAATCTCACTTGTTTCCTATCGGAAAAATAGTCATGTCCCTCGAACATGGGCGTTTTAGCAAAGACCCTCGATAAAAGATCGTAGTCCCTCGATGACCCTCGATGTTGCCTTCGGTAAATGATCTAGTCCCTAAAAAACATTGCTAAAACATCCATAGACTTCCTTCTATGACTATACGATGACCCACGCCCGTCCCGTTTACATCCAAATATAGGGTTACTTACCAAATCAATGGTAAGATAACAATGTCAAAGGAAAAGGAAATGAACGAGAAATATTTTTGAGTAGGTAGAATGTTCCTAATTACTTGCTCAATTTCGAACAAAACATCCTTGCTATTTTCCAAATAAACACTTACACTTTCAAAACATCTTACAAAAATTGAAAACATTTTCAAAAGATTAAACATCTTTGTATACATTCTTACGAACGAGAATCATTACAAAGATTGCCTAAACAATGGCCTCTTTACAAAATACTTTCAAAAACCACACCAAGCACAATTTTCAAACAAAAAGCTAGCAAGTAACTAAGAGCCCATGGAAAACCATGGATGAAAAGGGTGCTAATACCTTCCCTTTTCATAATATACCCCCCAAACTCAGGAAATAATCTCAAAGGTCTTTCCTGTGCTTTTTCACCTTTCCTTTTGGATAAAAGAAAAGTCGGTGGCGACTCTTTCTAAACTGCAACATTTGCGATCAAATGCAAAACAAAGTCAGTTCTCCCACCTTATCTCAGAACTGGCGACTCTGCTGGGGAATATTCTAAAAGTGGGGTTACCTTAGGGCTAGATCATATTTATTTTCTTTCATTGTCTGACTTGTATGCTTTACATTATGGTTCTTTGTTTGGGTTTGAATCCTCTTCCCAGATTTGGAATACATTATAGGTAAGTAGCAATACATTGTGGAAAAATTGCGGGGTATACCGACATGGTCTAAGTAATATCTATGTTAGTGCGACATATTTGTGGGTACCAGTAGCCTTTGAGTTAATCAAAGAGAATACAGGGCCGTTGAGTGATGTCATAAAGCACTAATGAACTTTTAGAACCTTTACTTGACCAACTTGGCCTTTAGGATGTAGTGAGATGATCGGCTTTGGTGCAGTCCGAAGTTGGTATATACTCGATACACTATGCCAAAATTGACTTTAGACAGCGCCACATAGACAACGCTTATGCCCTAAGCGCTGCTATAGGTTTCAGTAAAAAAAAATTAAAAAATTAGAATAAGCGCTGCTAAAGGTATACTATTGACAGCGCTTATTATAAGCGCTGCTATAGGCCTTACCATAGACAACGCTTCCTTTCCCTAAGCGCTGCTATAGGTTTTCAGTAAAAAAAAAATAAAAAAATTAGAATAAGCGCTGCTAAAGGTATACTATAGACAGCGCTTACTAAAAGCGCTACTAAAGGTGTTATTCTAGGAAGCGTTGCTAAAGCCTAAAGCGCTGCTAAAGGGTATAGCTTAGACAGCGCTTTCCAGAAGCGCTGCTAAAGGGTATACCTTAGACAGCGCTTTCCAGAAGCACTGCTAAAGGGTATACCTTAGACAACGCTTTCCAGAAGCACTGCTAAAGGAATTACTCTAAAAGCGCTGCTAAAGCCTAAAGCATTGTTAAAGGTAATACCTTTAGCAGCGCTTCTGGAAAGCGATGTCTAAGGTAATTAAATAGTGTCTTAATCCCTAAATTGGTTATCAGATTTCCAGAAATCCCATATTTTACAAACGAAACCTCACACCCACAAAACGCTCCTGTTCATCTTCTTCTCCAACTCGTCTCCTCCCATTCACCGTCCAAGCGTGGTTCTTCCTCCAACTCTTCTCCAACTCGTCTCCTCACCGTCCAACCGTGGTTCATTCCAGAAAGCTTCTGATTTGTTATCTCGTTACAGAGAAACCTGATTCAAAAACAGTGTGAGCCTTTACCTATAAGAAGTTTCGCAAAATCGGTTTCATCTAAGGTAAAGTTTCTTCATCCTTTTCCGGTTTCACTATGGAAGCCTGTTAGTAATAAAACAGTGAATTGGAATGGTTTTAACTGCAAGAGTTTCGAGTGTTTGAATGGTAGGAAACTGAATAGAGATTGTGTTCATTGCTTTGATTTGGTTAATGGATATGAGAATCAAAGATTTGTTAAGTCTAAGAGTAAGAATGATTTTCTTGTTGATGATGTTTTGCAATTAGGAAATGGTGGGATTAGAATAGGTTTTGATATTGGAATTGGTTCGGGGGTCTTTTGCGGCGGTTATGGTTGAGAGGAATGTTACCGTGATTACTAGTACTATTAATGTTAATGGTCCTTTCAATGAGTTTATCGCGGCGAGAGGACTTTTTCCGGTTTACTTGAGTTTGGATCATAGGTTTCCGTTTGTTCAATCTAGTATTCAACTTAGTAATAGTAAAAAATAACACAAATCATGAATCTTCGAATGAGTTCACAACTAAGCTAATGTCTCTAAAATTGCAACGTTGACGATCATTGATTGAATATGTTATAGGACCACAACAGTAACATTCGTGGCTATGCTCCTTTCACTCACACGTTACAATCCTCATTTCTAGAATTATTCTAATCACATGTTTGATTTTTGTTGACAACACACACTCTTTAAATTCATTGTACTCCCACCACATTGCTTATAATCCAAGTTAGTAATAATCAACACAAGAGGTTCACGTAACAATGACATATTCACTTGAATAATAAAAGCATACACTATAGAACTCAAATTTATTTTAAATCCGTGTATACTTTGTGTTTTGACAGAAACGCATTATACTGTTTTATGCCCTAATTAGTGTTTTTGTTTAACTTAGATAATAGTTAAAACCATGGATAAAAAATGGATGTGTGTCGATCGATTGTCAAAAGAGTACGAGAATGGGGTATTAGAGTTCGTTAAGTTTGCTGTTGAACACGCTGAAGACCCGAATAGAATGAAATGTCCTTGCTTGGGTTGTTGTTATGTGGGTCGGGTTGACGCAGATGGATTGAAATCGCATTTACTAATGCGCGGAATTGATCGAAGTTATACGTGTTGGATATTTCATGGTGAGAAAAGCATCGAGAATGTTGAACCGGGGGTGAAAAGTAATGCGACCTATGTTTCGTACGACAATGCCACAGATACATATGATTGTGATCGAGTCGAAGAGATTGCAGAAGCACTTGAAGAAGATCTTCAAGATTGTCCCAAAATGATTGAGAGCTTGGTAAGCGATACGGAGAAACCATTGTATAAAGATTGCCCCAAATTCACAAGATTGTCTGCGGTATTAAAATTGTACAACTTAAAGGCGCGCAATGGATGGTCGGATAAAAGTTTCACACAATTATTAGCCCTTTTGAGAGATATGCTTCCTAAGGATAATGTTCTTCCTAATCGAACCTACGAGGCCAAAAAAATGTTGTGCTATATTGGCATGAGCTATGATAAGATACATGCATGTCTAAATGATTGTATTTTGTTTCAAAACGAATATGCATCGTTGAATGAGTGCCCAAAGTGCGGTTTATCTCGATATAAGAAAAAATTATCTCCAGCGAAAGTCTTATGGTATTTTCCTATTATTCCGAGATTTAGACGCATGTTTCGTAGTGAAACCGATGCTGGACACTTGACTTGGCATGCAGATGAAAGAATTATCCATGGAAAGTTTCGACATCCAGCAGATGCACCACAATGGAAGAAAATTGATAATGATTATCCTGATTTTGGAGGAGAAACAAGAAACCTTCGCTTGGCATTATCTACGGATGGAATGAACCCGCATGGTCTTTAAAGTATCTCACATTCCAAATGGCCTGTGATTCTTATGATTTATAACCTACCTCCATGGCTATGTATGAAGCGCAAGTACATGATGTTATCTATGTTAATTTCTGGGCCTAAACAACCAGGGAATGACATAGATGTATACTTGAAACCTTTAATCGAAGATTTGAAGATTTTGTGGGAGAAAGGTGTGGAGGTTTATGATGGATATAGGAAAGAAAGTTTCAATTTGAGGGCGATGTTGTCTGGCACAATTAACGATTTTCCAGCAGATGGAAATCTATCCGGGTATAGCATTAAAGGTGAAAAAGCGTGTCCTGTCTGTGAAGATGGAACCGATACGACACGATTGAAACTTTGTCAAAAGAATGTCTTTCTCGGTCATCGTAGATTCTTAAATTCAAAACATCAATATCGTGGATGGAGAAAAGCGTTCAATGGAAATACCGAACAACGTAGAGCTCCACCTGGATTGACAGGTGATCAAATTTATGAAAAGGTGAAAGATGTGAGTATTCAGTTTGGCAAGCCTTTTGCACATAAAGTTGTCACGGGTAGGTGGAAGAAGAGGTCAATTTTTTTTGAATTGCCATATTGGAAATCTTTGTACGTAAGACATTTTCTTGATGTTATACATATTGAAAAAAATGTATTTGAAAGTGTTATTGGTACGTTACTCAATATAAAAGGAAAGTCTGAGGATGACCTTAAAGCAAGAGAGGACATGGTAAAGATGGGAATAAGAACTGAATTAGGACCCGTGAAGAAAGGAAGACGAACATATCTACCACCTGCTGCTTATACTCTATCTAGAAAGGAAAAGAAAATATTGTGTAAGTTTCTGAGTGAAGTTAAAGTTCCAGAAGGTTACTTCTCAGACATTAGAAGACTCGTGTCCATGAAAGACCTCAAGTTAAAGAGTCTGAAGACACATGATTGCCATGTCATAATGGAACATTTTCTACCAATAGGTATACGTTCTATTTTGCCAGAAAAAGTAAGAAGCGTTATAACTAAATTGTGTTTTTTTTTCAGGTCAATTTGTAGTAAGGTGATCGATCCTGAGATCTTACCAGTATTACAAAAAGAAATTGTTATTACTCTGTGTGACCTTGAAATGTATTTTCCTCCATCATTTTTTGATATTATGGTACATCTTGTTGTTCATCTTGTGAAAGAGACACAATTGTGTGGACCAGCTTATATGAGATGGATGTACCCTGTTGAAAGTTATATGAAAATATTAAAAGGGTACGTGAAAAACCGAAGTCGTCCAGAGGGTTGTATCGTTGAGCGATACGTTGTTGAAGAAGCGGTTGAGTTTTGTACTGATTTTTTGTCCAATGTGCAATCCATTGGACTCCCCAAATCTCATTTTTTCGAAAAAAAAGAAGGTAAAAAATTAATTGGAAATGAAATTGTGACAGTATCAAGGGATGAACGGGATCAAGTGCATTTGTATGTTCTGCATAATGACACTGAGGTTGAGCCGTTTGTTGAAATGCACAAGGCTATACTCCGAGGTGAGAATCAAAGTAGAAATGAAAATTGGATAGTACGAGAGCACAATCAAAGTTTTATACAGTGGTTTAAGGATCATATATATGCAAAGTTTCATTCAGATCCCGCTTCAATATCAGACAGGTTGAGATGTTTGGCATATGGTCCAAGTTCGATTGTGTTCTCTTATAGAGGATACGAAATTAATGGATAAACATTTTATACCAAAGAACAAGATGAGAAAAGTACTATGCAAAATAGTGGTGTCACGGTGGTATGTGAAGCAATGAACATTTCTAGTATGAAGGACTTAAACCCCAAATATGAAAATTTGTCATATTTTGGGGTTATCAATCACATCTGGGTGTTTGATTACGAGAAGTTTCATATTCCTATCTTTGGTTGCAAGTGGGTACATACTAGTGGCATACGAATGGATAAGTCAGGGTTTTTGCAAGTGGATCTTAGTAGGGTGGGGTACAAAGATGAGCCTTTTATTCTAGCCTCTCAAGCTAAACAAGTGTTCTATGTCACAGACCCGAAGAGTACGAAATGGTCTATAGTGCTTTTATCTAACAAAGTGATTGATGATAAAATTGTGGATCAAGGTGATGTTGATGTTGATAATGAGTCGTATATTAGAAACGATCGAGATGAAAATACTACACCGGATGAATCATATATCAGAAAAGATCATGATGAGGGAATTTGGATCAATCCCTCCGTCCGCGTTCTTAAGAGACAAGTAATTCGGAATCCAACCAAGAAAAGAAAGAGATGTTAGTGAAAGAGGTAATATATATTCCTCCATACCTGTTAACACTTAGAAAACTTCTAATAAATTATATATTTGTCATTTTATATACTCAATTGATATTTGTCATTTTATATACTGAATAGATATTTGGAATTATATATTTGGAATTAAATATTTGTCATTAGATACAAATGTTTTTCTTTATTACATGTTAGATGGCTAGTAACGAGGAGCACCCACACGATGATTCTATTAATGATGGAGACAATGATGGAGGAAAATCCAGTAAGGGAGTGGAAAAAGAAATTAAAAGAGGAAAAACTATTATGAAGAATATCATTTGTGATAGAGATAGAGGTATAAAATACGATGTGCATTGGAGTCCAAATGACCAATTAATTGAGCCTAACGGTTCTAAATTGAAAAGTTACATTGGTACACTTGTAAGGAGAGAAATTCCAATAACTTGTGATGAGTGGAGAGATGATAAGTTGGATGATGCTAAAAACAAAATCTGGAGTGAGATAGAGGTACTTTAAATTATGTCTTTAAATAAAGATTATGTACTTTAAATTATGTCTTTAAATTACTTATACTAACGCACTTTGTGTATGTTTTTTGTAGAGGTCTTTCAACATTGATGACAGAAGAAAAGATTATTGTCTTGGATTGTTCGGCAAAATACTAAGAGGGTTTAGAACATATTTAAACAGAAAATATCTTAGAGATGCCAAAAAAAAATTTGTTGATGCAGAGCGTCCAGCAGTATATGCAGATGTGATTTCAGTTAAAGAATAGGATGTTTTTAAAGCCAAATGGAAAACCCCAAAATTTCAGATTGTAAGTGACGTAAATCGACAAAGAGCATCATCTCCCACATACCCATACAAAAAAGGGCGTTTGGGATATGCACGATTAGAACAAAAAATAGTAAGTATTTACAAATTGCAATGATATACTTGTTCATCAAGAGTTATAACTGAGCTTGTTTTTTGTGTTAATGTGTAGTTAAAAGAGGAGAGTAGTTCTGAAACATCTCTTCCGGAGCATGTTTTGTGGAAGGCTGCCCGTGTGGGTAAGGATGATGTTCTTAAAGAAGATGTACAACAAATTTTTGAAAAATGCGTAAGTATAACATTAATTCTAATTAAATCAAAATTTTATTAACATATAGTATTCATGTTTTTCCAATATTCATATGAATTTCAAGAGAGTCTGTCTC